GATGAAGTGGTTCCAGAACACACGTCCTTCCGCAAGAGTTTCTCTTTGTTCTCCTGTCGAATGAACCGAGTAGAAGTGTCTCGGTCCCAGCCCGTTAAGGTCTGTAAGAAGTCTACCAATCGAACTGAATGGCCGAATGGCATGGTGATCAGATCCGGCCCTAGGTCTGCAGCTGGGGGTGATGGTGGTGTGTTTTGCATGGTGATTTGCATGGCCCGAAGCAGGATGATCCGGCTCACTAGTCTTCCAATATCGCCGAGATTAAACAAGCGTTGGCGGTTGATAGAGGCAAGCACTTGGATGCACCGGATGAGCCTGGCTTCATCGGAGGCCAGGTACTGATTGGCTGCCGAAGACAAGATGAATTGGGAGGGATATCCACTCGTGAGCTTGAGATGAGAGGGGTCGATGTGCATGCATTGCGCTCCATGGCTTGAAACGAGCTGGGCATTCAGATGTGAAGCTCCCAAGGTTGGAGGCTGTATGGTCGACCCAAGCAATGCAAACACCTGGGAATCGCTCAGGGCGCCGGCTGGAACCGACTGGCCATTCGTGGATAGAAGCTTTTGAAGAGCATGTTGGGTCAAGCCTTGGATGATCTCATCGTCCGCAAGTCCCTTCCTCTTGGCTTCATCGGCATACGCCCGCCAAAAGGGGGAGCCATAAGATAAGAGCCTAAATGCGGATTGCAGCTGGTGCTGATCTCTGGGCGGATCGCTCACGTGGACATCAAAGGAACAAATTTGGTATATGGGATCGAAAAGCTTTTTGGGCTTGTGCTTGCCGATCCTGTGGTTGGGATGATCAGGATGGAAAATCGAAAGAGGAGAGTTGGTATCTGCAAGGATGGAGAAAAACCCGGTCGAATGGGATGGTATCTTCTGAAGAGCCCCCCGGAAAATGCTCAAGAACGACAGATCTGGGGAAGAGCTATAACTCGCAAGCAATTCGCTGGCTTGGTCGATTGCCAAGAGCACTCTGAGGTCGTCTTGCTCAATGAACTTGGTACTCTCCTTCATCCTCTTTAATGCCTCTCGAAGTTGGGTGTGCTTCTCGTAGACAGTCAGAGGTCGAGCCGATCTGCTGGAGATCTCGTTCATCTTTGTCTCGACGTCTGTCCAAAAGGGTGGCTCGCCAGACCGATTGGATTGTGGAAAGCTATGGAGAATCCATTGCTCCAATCTTTCTTGTCTACTCCCCGGTTCTTGGGTCGAAAAGAAATCGGCCACAGTATACAAGATAGCACACAACAGCTCTTCGTATCGAGTTTCCAGGGTTGGACACTTGGAATCGAGAAGCACGCCCGCAGGATATTCGGATCGGGGCGGAAAACCAGACGAGTGTTTGGGCCGGAGACAGATATAGACGACGCATGTGCGTCTCGACAGCTCCTTCAAGAGTCGCGATTTGCCACCCGTCGATGTTGCAACGAGGGAAGTAGAAGGGGCCAGGTATTCGTCGGGCGTCCACTGGCGGGCCATCTTCTGGAGCGTCTGGAGCGTGGGATCGACGATGCGTTTGGTGTCTAAATATTCATGATTGTTGAATGCTTCTGCAACAATTTCGTCCTCCAGAGGGTGATTAAAGAGCCTCTCGGCTTTCTCGTGAGACGAGGGGGCGATCCTTCCATCACGATCGATTTTGGAAGAACCACCTGTGAGATGGGTGGGGGCATGATTAGTTATTGCTCAGGAGCAACGGATCGGAACAGAAGATGTGCGTACCAGTTGTGCGGTTTTGGCCGAGGAATCCCTCAGAATCTTGGGCTTTTTCGTCCCGCTCTTGGAGCCTATAATTAGAGTGGCTTTGGTCTGGGGGCGTCTGGAGATCTTTGTGCATCAAGGGATTGGCGGTTGAGACGAGCCGGATATGTTTTGGAAGAAGGAGTGGGGCACTGTGTGGGTTTCTGCGGTGGCCGGGCAGGATTGATGTTGAGGTTGTTGGGGATCTGGGCCAAGACGATTTGAAGATGGAGGGACAGCGAGCTCGAGCCTGGAAGATCATACTTATATTTTTCTTAATTGGTGTGTTGGGAATCGGGAGTCAATAGATTGATGATATTTATTTTTGATCTAGAATCTGTCGAAGGGCAATCGAAGACGCAGCTTAGCAGTGATCGGTGATGAGGAACAAGCTATGTAGTATATATGAGGAAGACTTTATTCCTCAAGCGCGACGATTGTTAAGGTCTTGAAAGTGGTCATCATGTCACTAACAGTGATGGTCAGGAAGGAAAGACAGCCAGATTAATATGGGCACATGAGGAGCCACAGTTTAACTTTTGGGGGGGGGGGGGGGAAGAATATATATTTCAGGAGTATTAAAGAGTTTTCGATGAGCAAACAGACACTCAAAGACGCTTAATTTTCTAGATCAGTTCGTCTCCAAACCTCGAGCCTTTCTTGAATTTCTTTCCCTTCCCAGAATACAATAGTACACATATTCAAATTCCCTTGCCCAGAACATGGGCGATATTAAACATTCAATCTCCAACTCCAGCCGCAAACCATTTTGATAGAATTTTCTTGGATTTTGTGGTGTGCTGACTACATACCCCCATACAGCCCAATGAACGACTCGTCTATCGACTGACGAATGACATCCTCATACATATGATGATGGAATGCCCGATTCAATTGGGTCCATCATGTAGACTATGTAGGAGCGACAAGGGATTTGGTAAAAGGCATTAGAACAAACAAGAGAATCATACATGTTTGTATCACTATCTCCAACCCTGACATAGAAAAAAGAGGAAAGAATTCATAGGGAAGGAAAGCGCGTCGAATGCACGAGAAATCGATCCACAGGAGCCACGAGCGACGACGATGGAGATGGTGAACTCCACCGTTCTTGCTTGCTCGAAGTCGAAGAGAATTTCCTTCTTCCTTATCCACCAGACCTCTGATCACCTAAGACTTGACTAAGGAAACACATGTGTAGAGGTGCAAGGGAAGAGGGTTGTCATCATAGTTGGAACACACTTGTTGGATTATCACACAACTCAAGACATATATACGTCTGCTTATCACAATGGCTTACTTATCACAGGCCCAAAAACGAGTAGAGAAAAAAAATAATGGAAGACGGATGGTGTGATACAGATGTTCAGAAGCAAATTAGGTGGCCGATAAATGGCATTGAAGGATTCCCCTTTTTAGTTTTGTGTTTGGGGCCCGGTTGTCGGTTTCTTAAAGCAATAAAAAGGGCAGGATGTATAGGACCGAAGATGAGTATTACAAACGCTTTAAAACTCGGCGAATTGGTCAGGCAGAAGCCGAGTATGAGGCGGAGTGCCGAAGCAGCGCGAGTTATCGAACTTGATAGCGATCCGATCGAGCTCTTCGAGCCCATCGGGCCCGGTATCCTCGAGATTAGCCTGAATTAACTGGTCGCATTCGAGGGAGATAGTGAGGTCGGATTCGATGTGCGGGCCGACGGGTCGATCGGCGCCTGTGCCGGCGGACAACAACGAGGTGTGCAGGAGCGTCGCCGAGCGATGGTAGGTGTAGGTCGTCGCCGGATGATGCGCATTCGCCGTCGGCTTCGGCGAGAGAGTCGCGATCGAGGGGATCGGGAGCACCCAGATTCGCTCGCGAAGCCGCTTGTGCTGCTCATCTCATGTCGGCTTTTCATTCAGTTCCTCGAGGAAAAAAAGAAAAATCGGCCAGACGGGCGGGAGACTCAACTCGTTCTCTATCATCATCGATTCGATCTAGGATCTCCTTCTTTGAGAACGCCTCGAGCTCGTTATCTGAGCCTTTCTGATCCACATCCGCCTTCCCCAACCTAAGCACGAACAAAAAAACAAAACAAGAAAACAGAACAAGATCAGTGAAGCGCAGTCCTATTTCTCAGGGGAAAGAAGGGAAGGGAATCGAATGGACACTTGTTTGCGATTGTTCAAGAGGAGATCGATTTGTTCGAGGAGCTCGATGTTCAAGAACTGGTCGATGAGCGAGACCTGAGACTTCCAATTCTTGATCACTTGGAGCGTGCTCATGAGGTTGAGGAGGCCCTTTTTGTTGAAGCTGGTGGGCACGACGATCTCGACGAATCGGATGATATCCTTCTTGATCAGATAGCCGTAGTTGAAGCCGCCCGAGGGGTTTTGGGGAGTGATCGATGGTCCTGATCCGATGGCGTGCGTTCGGCCCTTCTGGTATTGGTAGTCTTGGTGACTCGTCAGGAGCGCCGTCGACGATGTAAACAGCAGGCCATCGATCAAGTATAGGATGTTGATCCTCGCATTCAGATTCACCTACTTATACAAACTCATCATCAACATCCAATCTTTCTTTCCTCAGTTTTTTTTATATAAATACACACCTTCTCGGCTTCTTCGATCAAACAATCCCAGAGATCTTCGCCGTACTTGTCCTTATGTTTGAGCAGGAATCGGATGGTCGTTTGGATCGAGTTTTGCGATGAGCTTAGTTTCCGGAGGATCGAGACTAGTTGGAGTCTGACTTGGAATCCATCCATCGCTTTTCGTTGTTGTTGTTGTTTAGAAGTTAGAATGTATTCCTGCCGATGGCCATGCCTCTCCCGGCTTATGTAATCAGCTTCTGGCTTCACATCCACTCACTCACGACTCATCCGAACGAAAACACGGCTGTTTCCTTAATGCATCTGCAATAAATCCCACCCATGACATGCTCATCTTCATAATAGCGGGGTTCACGATAGCTTCTCGCAAGAAGCGATTTCTTCTCGCGCGAGAAACCGCAGCACTGCTGCAGGCTTAAAATTTAGCGCAGAACTTAAAATTTACGCTGGCAAAATTGACATCAGCAATGCTCGAGCAAGAAAAAAAAATTACGGGTGCGAGAAGCGAAAAACGCTATCGTGAACCCCGCTCATAATTTAACAATCAAGTGTTTTGAGAAAGATAATTGTAAAACCCAAGAAGTCTTACTGGAACCACCTCTTGATATGCGGAGAGGGCCTGGGCATGTGCGACTGCGGCGCGCCCCACGATGCCCCAACCCAGGAACCAAGAGGGCAACTTGATCATCACAGCTTGAAGCGGCGAGACTATACAGGGGAACGTCCGCCAGAGATTCCCTCCTCCACGGAGTCCAAGGAGGATGATTCCTTAATGCCAATCTGGTACAACATGTGTCACTGACCAACCCCGGCAAGGATACACCATCCTTCATTCGCCGCAAGCCATGCCGGCCCGGGTCTGTACCAGCTTGGTCATGACTCATGAGGACGGATATGTCCTCGGCGCAATGAAAGTGTTTGAGCTGTATTTCTGTGAGAGGAGTGATCCTCCTCACTGAGAACCTGTACCAGCTCGGTGAAGGAGTCCCAGGAGGGCATCACTTCATTGAGCCAGTACTTCTCGTGCCGAAATGTCAAGAAGCATTCCTCCTTGGCGAGCTGGTACAAGATGCACTACTTTGTTGAAAAGGATCTGTTCAGAGACGGGAGGCGTTTGGGACTTGGGTCATCCTAGTATTCTCTGTTTTTTTGTCCTAAAAAGATTTCTGGGATGGCCATCCCCATATTGACCATTTTCGTCCCGAAAACACAACCCAGGACCCAGGATTATCCATCATTTACTCCTGAAATATGTATCGCCCACAGGCTAGTTAAAGTCCATGGATCCCCAGTGAAATCAGCCAGGCCCCGTAGCGCAGTCGGCAAGCGCCCTGATGGATTCGTCTACGTCCAACAATCTGGCTTGCCAGAGGAGAGTCGACTATAATAGAACGTCCATCAACAGTCCAGGTCAAGTGTTCAAGCCTTCCTGGGAACGGGGCATTAACTTTTTTGCTTGGCTATATAAATATAGCCGCTTATTGGGGAAGGGATGATGTTCTCGGTGGTACTAGGCCGACAAGTGATACCAGCTGGCTGAGAATCAATATAATATATGCAAGACTTTTTTTTCCTTGGGCAAGATAAACCCTCTTCATAGAGATGGTGCCGGCTCTCAGTAAGTAGGATGCTTTGAAGAAATTTTAACCAAAGAAAAGAAATTTCTTGGAGGAGATTTTTGACAACAAAATTAATTTTGTTGGAACGGCTCAGAGGGTCGAAAAAAGAGGGAGAGAACCGATGGTATTTTTTACTTAGCAGAGACTAGTTGTTAAGTAGTCTACATACAAGATGTTCAACATGTGGTTTTGAGAAGAAATTGAATATAGAAATGAATAACAGTTTGAAACATGAATGAAACATTGACAGGAGCAAATTCTTGTTGATAAAGACTAGACTCAGGTTCGAAGACTACAGAGATTTCAGCACTAGACAAAAAGATAAGATGCCACTCAGACAAGGACAAAACATATTCAAAACATGAATATTAATTTGTATAAACATTAACAAATGAGGAAAAGGTTTTTAAGAATGAGGAGAAAGAGACAGAATTTCAACACCCCCCGCTGCTCAGGCCTAAAAAACCTTAGAAAGTAAAAAATGTTTAGTGATGGTGAGGATAAAAAGAAAGAAAAGGGATTGATTGGTAGAGTAAGATTGAAAATTGAACAGTTTGAGAGGAGGTGATTAGAAGTATTTGACTCCTTCATACTTGACTTCATCGATGTGGTGAAGGACACCGTCGGCTGTTCGGAAGAGAGAGAAGTCGGTCGGATCGTTGAGTTGATTGAAATTCTCTTGGACAGTCATGTGAGCTGAATGTGATTTGGGGGCTTTTTCAGGATATTTGACCCAACAGTTGTTGACTTGATGACCTGGCTTCTTACAATGATCGCAGAGCGTTGGACTTGATGAGGCTTGATCATTCGATCGAGTGAGAAGTGATTGTAACGGAGTTGAAGAGATCGTTGATGTTTTCTTATCGAGATCGTTTTGGGCAACATAGCTTTCGAGCTTTTTAATGACCGATTCAAACGACTCGGAACCATAATTCATTGAAACGATATCGCGAAAAGAGCGATAGTCTGAAGGCAGTTTCTTGAGCATAAGGATCGTCCTAACGCGATCGTCTAGGATAAGGCCCGACATCGATATCTTTTGATTTGCTGATCAAACGGCGGGGATGAATGTGGCAATGCATGAAAAACTGAGATGAAGAAATTGATCAAGCGCTGTGGTTTGCGAGGTGAGGTCATCGCCAGCGTATTGCGACTTCAAGAGCTTCCAGAGACCGCGACCGTTGAATCGAGGGGTTGCAGGCAAAGCGGAGCTAACAAACCCGAGTACTTCCTGACTGATGTAAGTTATGATTTCGGCATAGGCGTCGTTGTTTCGTTTAATCCAACTTTCTTTTTCTTTTTCATCGGGTTCTTCTTGACCTTCGAGAATATCGAGAAGTTTTGATCTAAAGAGTTTTGCCTCCATTGGCAATAGCCAGAGGGCGTAGTTGTTCGGGGTCAAGAGAACCTTGGTTTCGCGAATCACTTCGGTGGACATGTTGGTGTGTTGTTGTTGAGACTGATGTTTCTGAGTAAGAGAGAGTTTGTTGTAGCCAGTCTTTCGACTGTTAATCGTGAAGAAATTTTAACCGAAGAAAAGAAATTTCTTGGAGGAGATTTTTGACAACAAAATTAATTTTGTTGGAACGGCTCAGAGGGTCGAAAAAAGAGGGAGAGAACCGATGGTATTTTTTACTTAGCAGAGACTAGTTGTTAAGTAGTCTACATACAAGATGTTCAACATGTGGTTTTGAGAAGAAATTGAATATAGAAATGAATAACAGTTTGAAACATGAATGAAACATTGACAGGAGCAAATTCTTGTTGATAAAGACTAGACTCAGGTTCGAAGACTACAGAGATTTCAGCACTAGACAAAAAGATAAGATGCCACTCAGACAAGGACAAAACATATTCAAAACATGAATATTAATTTGTATAAACATTAACAAATGAGGAAAAGGTTTTTAAGAATGAGGAGAAAGAGACAGAATTTCAACATGCTTCTTGGGCGAGCCGATCCAAGCCGTGTCAGCTCGCCCAGGATGTGTCCTGCTCACAAGGACGTGGTACAGATC